TTGCTGCCTAGTTTTGAATCCTTTCATCTTTTTGCTTTGTTCAATTCATGAGTTAGAAATTCTTGTCAGAGAAAATTGCAGTTATGTTGACCTGTTTTGGAACATGTTAATGCTTTAAGAACTATATGTGACTTAAAAAGCATGCTGTTAATTCTGGCTGTGTATGGTAATACTCTTTCTGTGGTCATTGAGAATTGACATAACCAATTAGACTGTCATAGTAATCCTGTTCAAATACTGCCTTCTGAAAGAATCTCCATACATATTTGTTTAGGTCTATATAATAAACAGTAGGTTCAGTCAATCTAAGCAGTTTGCAGGCTAGGGTTAGTCTGTACCTTAGCTAATATTTAGTATATGAACATCTATACTGATTTTAGTACTTTAAAGTGGTGAATTTGTACATAATTATAAGTACTTGTATGGAAGGCTGCAACCAGTTTTGTCTTTTCTCCCCTAATTATGCTGTAACAACAGCTAACTCCTGCATCAACAACTTCAGATTTCAAATTGTAGTAGAGGTGATAACTGTGAAGCATTTAGAGCAGTTAGCACCTTCTTTCCCACAGTCAGTAGGACTTGGGTGGATTGAGTGGCTATATTCAGTCATAATGGATGCTACATTTAACTCTGGTTTATTGAATAAGCAATGGTTGAATTCACACAACTTGCTAAACTAAAACTAAGCAAACCATATAGCTTAACAGCTTACTTACATTTCTGGAGCGTGGTTACAGGTGGAGTTTTGAGACATCCAATTTTCTCCTAACCTCAGCATTGGGATGTACCTCCATTCACAGATCTTCTCATCCAGAATTGGCTATAGGAACAGAGTTGTGAATGAGCATCTTTGTATGTTTTAGACTCCCGAAGCTAAAATCAAATGAAAAGACACCTACTTTGAACATTTTAGAGAGCTTTGTGCTACAGAATGGCATGCAATTAACTCACATCATTTTAATATGTGAGTTAATTGTTAATATGTGAGTTTTACATCATTTTAATATGTAATTGTTAATATGTGAGTTATACATTTTATATGTATAAAACATGTTTTGTTTTTCAAATTATAGCTATTGAATTATCTTTGCAAGAACAGAAACAGCAGCAAACTGAGACCAAATCTTTGTACCCATCTGTAGACGTTCAACATAACAATCAAAAACTCTCAAGAAAGGTGCGAGCCTTGTATGACTTCGAGGCAGTCGAGGATAATGAACTTACCTTTAAGAGTGGTGATATTATTATTGTTTTGGATGACAGGTATGTTTGTACTTTGTGACTTAACTGTTTTGGATAAATTGGGTCCTTCTGAGCTAGATGAAGGTTCGAAGAGAAAAAAAATAGGCATTGCTAAGAGCTGTTTCTCATTAGTTTCATTGTTTCTCATTAGTTTCCTAATGCATAGGATCTCATCAACATTTTTATTACCATAGATTTCCCCACCCTTACATCCTTCAGATGTGTTGGGATTCTAGCTCTCAGAATCCTTGGAGTTACAGTCCCAGTACATATTGAATACATTAGATTGGGAAGATGGCATATACCATTTTTGAATCTTGTAAAAATGAAATGAGAGCCAGTTTGGTGTAGTGGTGAAGGCATTAGGCTAGAAACTGGAAGACTGAGAGTTCTAGTCCCATCTTAGGCACCAACCCAGCTAGGTGATCTTGGGCCAGTCACTCTCTCCCAGCCCCAGGAAGGAGGCAGTGGCAAACCACTTCTGAAAATCTTGACAAAAAAACTGCAGGGATTCAACTCAAGGGTGCCACAAAGGAAATAGGCAGCCTTTTTGAGCTAGTGGGCACATTTGGAATTGATACTTCTCCTTGTCACTTTCTCAGCCATTCAGGATACCTTTTACAGTCCTACCCTATTTTTCCTTTTTTCAGGCAGGAGAAACAAAGCATTGAGCTACAGCCATTTGGCATTTTTATTTTTTAAGAATGGATATTAATTTATACA